TGTGCTCAAGAACTTACTTTTTTTATATATAATAATATTTATTAGTTTTCCACCAAATTGAACACAACACTACAAAAAACCAAAAAAGAAAAAACATACAATAATACAATACAAAAAACAACAACACTGCAAAACACTAACATACAACTAACAAAACAAAACAAAAACCATTTAAAACACAGTCCAATTTCAATATTTTATCCTCCTTTCACTAATTTCCACGACCTCCTCACACCTCCCTTTTTGTATTCCACTTCTATTGATTGTTTCAGCAATTCCTTTCCATCTTCCTCTATTTTTTACCCTATAATTGTCTTCACACATTCTAACCTTATTTTCCCCTTTAATGCTCTAATAATCTATTTAAACTTAATTCCTTATAACATTTCTACTAAAGCCATATAACTTCATTCCAACATTTTTCTAACATTCATTAATTTTACAGTATTTCTGTAAATAGTCTTTAAACTTTTTCCAGTCTTCTTCCACCGACTCTTCTCCCTGGTCTCGGATTCTGCCAGTCATTTCCGCCAATTCCATGTAGTCCATCAACCGTGCTCAAGAACTTACTTAGTGCTTAGTTCAGTTATATACACACACAATGATATTGGACCCAATCCTTTTTTTGTTTTTTGTTTAAATGGTCTGGTACTTGATAAAAGTGATGTGGGTGTAGTCAAAGATTCAACAGACAACACATACCTTCCTGAGTTGCTGCATTCACCGCCCCCAATCTTGTATAAACACAACAGGTTTGAGTCCCTATGCTTCCAGAATTTATGCGCTGAGGAAGAAAATCCGTTGGACATATTATATATGAATGGTTAGATCCAGATCAGTTTTACTCTGAGGACAGACGTTTCAAGTCAATGAGTTCATCTCTAGAGTGAAAGCATCCCCTAAGCCAACATTTATTTCTTTTCATGAATTACTTCTCATAAAACATCTTGAAGCAATTTCACAATGAAAACAATTACACAATTTTGTATAGAGACACAATGGCAGCAATTAAGAAAGCACTTTAAAATGTAAAAACAACTTCAAATCCTAAAAGTGACGTTGCCACAGATTGTAAACCTGGATTCTTAATTATTGACACACACACCCCACACACTAACAAAATAGATAAAGTTTGAAGCAACCTCAGTATAGTGATCCCCCATGTTCAAAGAAATGAAGCCATGATTTCAGCTCCTCTCCTGATGTCAGCTACTTCTATCACCTCAATAGATTTATGACACTGCAATTAACTTCCTTCCCAGATCAAGTGTGGAGACTGGAAAAGTGACATGTAACAACAGCACCTTGTTCTAAATTGCATAGATGGCCTAATGCCGAGGCTCATGAGTCACTCTTGACAGATGTGAATATTCTTCTGGCATAGACCGATAGCGAGATGATGCGATAGAATCTTAGATAATATTCCTGAGAAATTTTTCAGCACGGCCCTGTGATGTAAGCAACCTGTTCTAGGGAAATGTAGCCCATGCTCCCATATTCTCTCTGAGTACAAAATCAACTTAGGGTGGGGGATTTTGAGGAGGTTGAGCAACACTTAAGGCAGTTCCTTCCCAACTGGTCTTCCACTTTAGCTCACAACTTCTTCTTGAGGCTGTGCTTGGTTAAAACAAAACAAACAAACCAAAACAGTGGGAAGTTCCACACAACTGCATGCAACATCTGTTTGCTTCTTCCTTAATGATTCTTCCCATCTTGCATCTGGAGGCAAGAAATGCCATGTTGCATTAGAAAGTTGAGTCTGGGAAGACACATGTTCAAGAGCTGGAAAACACACACACACTCTCTCTCTCTCTCTCTAACTTGCCTCACAGTGTTGATGTGAGGTTAAAAGGAAAGGTCTATGGAGCCAGTGTGGTGTAGTGGTTAAGAGCAGTAGACTCGTAATCTGGGGAACCGGGTTCGCGACTCCCGCTCCTCCACATGCAACTGCTGGGTGACCTTGGGCCAGTCACACTTCTTTGAAGTCTCTCAGCCTCACTCACCTCACAGAGTGTTTGTTGTGGGGGAGGAAGGGAAAGGAGAATGTTAGCCGCTTTGAGACTCCTTCGGGTAGTGATAAAGCGGGATATCAAATCCAAACTCTTCTTCTTCTCTTATTGCGACATTTATAATATTGCATTATACATTTAATTATCAGTGCATTGATTATTCATCCAGGCCAGCACCAACACCCTTCAGCAACTTCCTTTAGGGCAAGGCCCACAGCTGTTGCCCATACTGTGCACCTGGTCTGGCAGCCACCTGCTATTTTTAGTTCTGCTGTAGCCTGTGATGGGACCGTGGGAAAATGTTGTAGGAAATCAAAATGGCAGTCAGTGTATTTGCAGTGCTGCTGTCACTCCCCACCAGGTTAGCCCACTGTGACCTCACCGCTGTAAGAGCAGGGCCGCAAGATGCAACTGCCCTTTGTCTTTAACTCAGCTGCACAAATGTTAGCGGCTATGTCTCATTTTTGTCTTTTTTGTTGCCCGTATGGGCCAACACTGGGTTTTGATACAGAGCTTCAGCCATGTTATTCTTCTGGGTACAGAATCCATAGGTACCAGCCCTAATATCGGTATTAGCTGTAATCTTGAAATAGCAAACAAACAGTGGTCCATGATGCCTGACAGACAGGCACAGACCAATTTCTAAACAACCGAGAAACATGTTTTTCACCCTGTTACAGTCAGAAAATCTAAAGAGTTTGTGATCAGACTTCGTTGTTCTTCTTTTAAATTACTTTTAAGGACTCATGAAGAAGGAATCATGCTTTTCTAGAGAGGACAATGTTCTCAAACATGCAGGAAGATGGTGCTGCACATTAGATCTATTTTCTATTGCTGAATGTTACCTCTCCAAGTTGATTGGGATAATATTGCTTGTTATGTAGGTGGGTTATATTGGTGTTATGTTGCAGCATGATGTTTGATAATGATCCTACAGTTATACAGCCACCATTATTAAGTGGCACTTGCAGGAAATTTAACAGTTAATTTAAGAGAAACTCTGTACGGGAGTTATTCTGCCCACTCTAGGCATTCAGAGGTGAATGAGGACAGCACCGGGGTCCAAATAAGTTGGGGTTGTGTCTGTTTTGCAGGAAAACTAACAAAACAAACACTTTTGTGTCCTAGACTGAGCTCTATAAAGGATTCTGCAAGCATGCATATAGATGTGTGTGTGTGTGTGTATGCGTGTGTGCATATATATGCCCAATGCCATGGGCCCAATGTCATGGTATCTACTGGCTAGTATTCCTGACATCAAATATATTACTCTTCTTCTCCCATGGCTAAAGCACTTTGAAAACTGTTTTTGAAATATTCCCTTCTCTGTTTTTGGAACAGGAAGGATGGATTTGGTAAGAGAACACCCTCCCACATTTTTGTCCCCAAATTGGGAGATCAGGAGGGGCACACCTTCCAGTCTGGTGCTCTGACGATTGTCAGCAGGGTTGTTCCAGAGCACTGGACCAGAAGATGCTTTGGCGCAACCCTGTTAATGATCAACAGAGCGCTGGACCAAAAAACAAAGCATTCTGGGATTGGGATTGGCTTTTGTGATCCGGTATGTCCCACTAAAAACAGGACACTTAGGGGGTACATAAGGGTTGCTGGGAATTATAAGTCTAGAGCAGGGTGCACAACCTGCAGCCCTCCAGATGTCTCTGTACTACAACTTCTGTCAACCCTGATCACTGTCTTTGCTGGCTGGGACTGATGGGAGTTGTAGTCCAGAAACATCTGGATGTGCACTCCTGGTCTAGAGAGATAAACCATGGTGCCCAGAATTCTTTAAGGGAAGGAATGTGCTTCAAATGTATTGTCTGCCCACAGCCTAAGGCTCACACAATTTACCTGTCCTTAAGTGTGAGCAGCTGCAGACAGACATAAGATGAATGTGCATTGGCCCACAAACCTGGCACTTTCAATAGGGACTACTGCAGTAAGTGAGAAGTCATTAGAGATTTCAGCAGGAGGAAACAAGTACCGGTAGTTCAGCTGGTTTTAAACTTAACTCATTTAACTTATTTGCATGCCAACCCCCCCCCCCCAGTCTTACTTACTATGAGGTCAAATGGACACTTTGTTGTTGTTGTTTAGTCGTGTCCGACTCTTCGTGACCCCATGGACCAGAGCACGCCAAGCATTTTAGGCAGCAGATTTGGGGCGACCTTTAAAAAGCAGCCAATTGGCAGCTATGCGACACAAAATGAAACTGTACCATAAAACAGACGCATGGTATGCAGGGTAACTACAGTCATACCTTGGATTGAATGTGCTTCGGGATGAGTGCGTTCAAGTTGCGCTCCGCGGCAACCCGGAAGTAACGGAGCAAGTTACTTCTGGGTTTCGCCACTTGCGCATGCGCAGACCCTCAAAATAACGTCACGCACATGCGCAGAAGCGGTGAAAAGTGACGCACGCGTTCGCAGACATGCCATCGCTGGTTACGTTTGCTTCTAGATGCGAACAGGGCTCTGGAATGGATCCTGTTCACATCTAGAGGTACCACTGTATACATCATGAAGTGGGTTGGGGAGAAATCAATGTGGGAGCTGCCATTTTCTTCATAATGTACCCATTATGAGCCAGTGTGGTGTAGTGGTTAAGAGCGGTAGACTCGTAATCTGGTGAACCGGGTTCGCTTCCCCGCTCCTCCACATGCAGCTGCTGGGTGACCTTGGGCTAGTCACACTTCTCTGAAGTCTCTCAGCCCCACTCACCTCACAGAGTGTTTGTTGTGGGGAAGGAAGGGAAAAGGAGAATGTTAGCCGCTTTGAGACTCCTTCGGGTAGTGATAAAGCGGGATATCAAATCCAAACTCTTCTTCATCCGTTCTTTGGCGCTGTGTCTTTTATCCCTTGGGGAAATCATTTACATTTCTGTCTCAGGGCAACAAAATGTCTTGGGCCAGCCTTGGTTGAACTACTTACCAAATACCCCTGGTGTCTTTGCACTCATTTGCCACAGCCTGATGAGTTCTGCAAAGGCGGCATGGAGACTAAGGAGGAGCAAGCTGACGGGCTGTAAGTAAGAAGACAGGCAGATGGGGACTGGCTGAGAGCAGACTAAAGACTAAATGGGCAGAGGTGCCCATTTGTGCCCAAAGCATGCGCTGTACGTCATGCTTGTGTAACATCATGCGTCTGACGCGTGTGTGTGATGTCATGCACAGGATGCGCATCTCATGTGCAATGTCACATCATCGGGAGGAAGTTGAGTGCAGAGGAGGAGCTGGTCACTGAAGCTGCGCTACACTTGGCTCTGTGCTCAGCCTCCTCCACTCCCTCAACATTGAGGGGCCCAGCCCCCTCCCGGCAGATATGGGGGGCACTGAAGACACCTCAGCCTCATAGAGTTGGCACCCCTGCTGGTGGGGCAGTTGTCCATTCACCCAAATGGACCAGCCTCCACTCCCTGCATGCATTTCTTATTTCTCCATGGTAAAAAGGATAGCAATTTACAGATCAATTATGTGCACATTTGAATAGAACATGCCTTCAAGTAGACATTATACAAGGGTTTTAGCCATGCACAAGGACATTGCTGGATAATGTTATGGTATGTTAAGCATTGTATAGCATCTCCATTTAATGAACTTTTCAAATTCTGCATTTTGAGGATTTAAATATGGCACCTGGCAAATCCAAGGAGCTGGGAGCAGCCCAGGAAACTTTAGCACCCTCCACTATCCAAATAAGACCTCAAAAGGCTTGTGATATTTGATTGATTGATTGATTGATTGATTGATTTAATTTATATACCGCCCTATACCCAAGGGTTTCAGTTTGAAGATGGAAAAAAGTTGGTTTATGGAAAAGTATAAGAGTTGAATATTATTATGCAGTAAGAATTTTGCATATGTTTTTAAAGCTGATAGATGGAGAATCAAAAGTATTTTCTTTTTCTTTCCTTTCTTTTAGTCTTCATGTTAAAAAAACCTTAATATTTGATGTTGACTTCAGAATACAGTTTTCTTTGTTTTTCTTTGCTGTAATAAAAATAGCTTTACAGACAAATGAGACCTCAAAATGTGGGAGGCATTTTTCACTCAGCTCCAGTTTTAATTCCTCTTCCAGCTAAATGCAGAAACACATCACTCAAGGGTGCAAACCTGGAAGCAACTTTACTCTGTGTGCATAGTATTTGTAGCTTTACTGTTTATTTAACATGAAAGCTGAAAATTCAGGAAAGGGGAAAAGCTTTTAGGGTGACTTAGGGTTTTTTTTAGGCTCAGTGCTCAGCTCCTGTACTGCCACCGCCACCATCGTATATAGATTATATACTTCCAAAATGCAGGCATCTGTATGCATATCACTCTTATTGGTTCTGAATCCAACATGCAATTGCCTCGTTGCTTTTGTGGATTGAGTAAAATACCAGCTTTAGAATCACTCCAGCCAGGAGATAGTCCACAGAGATCAAATCAAAAGCAGGTTTTGCCAAATAAATAGACCTACAGGACAGTTGAAAAAGTTCAGATTGGACCAATGGGCTGACTACCCACACCTCTTGCAAGGATTACAAAAATCTCAGCTGGGATTGGGATTTTGTCTGTTGAAAATCTAAGTTACTTATTTACATTGAACACCCTATGCAAATAATACTATGTAAATTCTGTCACAATTATCAGTTCTATATGTGTGTGCACGCGCTTGCACATGCTTCTGCGCCTACGGGTTTTGGATGAGGCCCAGGCTATTTGGATAGGCAAGTTGGGACTTCAATCCTGCAGATAGTACTGGGCAATATTCCTAGATTAGTTTTGGTATGGAGTGCACAAGGTATTTGAAAATTATTATTGGTCTACAGAAAACTGTACAAGGAAAAAGACACTTGAGACTCATATGACCTATGATTATTGGACAAGCATGTCTGGATACCACAAATCACTCTGGAGCCTCCAGATGACCTATTTATTGAGCATTCATTCCATACCCTCCAAGTGTCCCTATTTTCATCGGAGAAACGTTGGAGGGTATGTCATCCTGATTTGCTTGCCTAAAGTTTGTGCAGATAATATATTATATCTGCTATTTATTGAGCGTTGGCTGGGATTTCTTTGTGGGGAGATTATACAACAATGCACATTAGTCCCGATTTACTTGTGCAATGTTTATGTATCTTCCTGTCCATCATTTATTCATCCCACATGCTTTTAGTGCATTGCCCCATCTCTAACTGCATGAAGTCGGTTTCTATTCAAAATCAGATTTATTGTACTAGGGTGACAGAGCACTTTAATCCACCCTCATTGTGCAAACCTAAATTTCCCCATATGCACCTGAAACCCTCCTGCAAAAAACTGATAGTCTGAAGGCAGCCTCTGGTTTCTGTTGGTGTCTGAAGAAAGAGTCTGTGTAACTACTTCAAGGCCTAATTTGGAAAAAGGAGAGTATTTGGCTGGTGTCAGGCAAATACCAATTTCTTTTACTTGCACCATCTAAAGAATAATGTGGCCGGTATCACATTCAGTCAGCTTTGCTATCTCAGTAGATCTAAAAGTCATTTGGACGTATCTGAAAAGGAATGAAACAACTCACCAATGTTAACACCCTGTGATATGAATGGCCAGACTTCAGCTGTGCCCTTATTCAAAACCAAAACTTGGCAGGCATAAAGCTGCAGAAGCACTTTGAAGTCCCATCACCAGGCACTTTCAATAGTTGGCTTGTAAGCAGCTGTGATAAGCAACCAGTATTATTCCACTGCCTGAGATAGCACTGTGGACCCTGAACAGATCGATAGAAACCAACAGCACAGCAATGGATAAGCAGCAACAGTGTTGTGCCAACACAGATCAGAAGCTTAGTGAGGGCTTTATATACTGCGGCAGATACACGTGTGTGTGCTCAGTTGCCCTCCCTGAAGAAGAACAACACACAGTTCTAGAGAAAGCACTTTGTTTCTGTTGCATACAAATGCTGATGCCAATCGTTTGCCCAGCACAGGGATACATGAATCAGCTTTCTTTTTCTCAGTTTCTCATTTTCCAATCTTAAGTTCAGTTCTCCATATCCGTTTGATAATTATGTTTTTATTAGGTAAAGGGACCCCTGACCATTAGGTCCAGTCGTGGCTGACTCTGGGGTTGCGGCGCTCATCTCGCTTTATTGGCCAAGGGAGCCGGTGTACAGCTTCCGGGTCATGTGGCCAGCATGACTAAGACGCTTCTGGCGAACCAGAGCAACGCACAGAAACGCCGTTTACCTTCCCGCTGGAGCGGTACCTATTTATCTACTCGCACTTTGATGTGCTTTCAAACTGCTAGGTTGGCAGGAGCAGGGACCGAGCAACGGGAGCTCACCCCATCGCGGGGATTCGAACCGCCGACCTTCTGATCAGCAAGTCCTAGGCTCTGTGGTTTAACCCACAGTGCCACCCGCATCCCATGTTTTTTATTAGTTTTTATTAAAGTTTTTTTGTGTTACAAAACGAACAGATAAACAGGGAAAGGCACACCGATTGCCTCCACTTTCAATTCATAGTCTTATTCACAGCATTTAATACACACATTCCTGCATGCAGTTTTGCCTAACATAAACATTTTGGTAAGCATTTCCCCCCCAATATTATGATTTTTGTGTGTGTTATTCTTCACTAATATGTGCAATTTTTTTGCACACTTTACACTGGTATGTCTGTTTGACTGGAGGGCTGCATTGCAGAATTCAGAGAAGTGTGACTTTTAAAGGTTCACATATTGAAACAGTTCATGTATTGTTTTGAGATGTGCAAGTTAGGTAGATCCGTCTTTGAATGAGAAGTGAATGAAATTTCTCCCCTGCCCCTGACCTGCTGCCAGTAGTACAGCTAGATAATTTTAGACTCTGGACTGAATGGTCTTATGGGGGAGGCCCTCTTCAGGTGTTAATGTGGATTACTTCACTTTCTTCAAAATGTGCTAGATTTGGGGCCCATTCTTCATGTTCCCTGGATATCTGCCTGAAAGTACAGTGGTCCCTCGGGTTACATACGCTTCACGTTACATACGCTTCACGTTACAGACTCTGCTAACCCAGAAATAGTACCTCTGGTTAAGAACTTTGCTTCAGGATGAGAACAGAAATCGTGCTTCGACGGCACAGCAGCAGCAGGAGGCCCCATGAGCTAAAATGGTGTTTCAGGTTAAGAACAGTTTCAGGTTAAGAACGGACCTCTGGAATGAATTAAGTACTTAACCCGAGGTACCACTGTATTACACTGCCTGCCGCCTCTGAGACTGGTATGGTAGCAATAGCCACATGGTTCCTGCCCGGAGGGGTGTGTGTTTCCTCTGTGGAGGTCTCTGAAGAAGATTCTTCAGCAACAGCTTCCTGAAATAGTCCGGGGAGAAGATCTTCGCCACGCGTAGGTGTCTCCATCTCCCCATAGTCCTGGGAGCATAACAGAAATGCAGTGAAATGGCTTGAACAACTGCTAATAGCAAGTAGTGCGGACAGAGGCTTTACTCGTAGCGTCGCACGTCCCAGTGGAAGGGCTCTCTTTATTGAATGTTAATTCATGAAAGTCGTTTTGCCCTGAGGATGATTCACACAACGCAAGAAGAGCCCTAATGGATGAAGCCCAAGGTCCATCTGGGTCAAGCCAAAGGCCAGCCAGATACCTGTGGGTAGCTCACAAGCACAACATGAGCAAAACAGCACTGCCTCCATTTCTGTTCCTCAGTAGCTGGCATTCAGAAGCATACAGATACCTCCTCAGATATAGCCATCACAGCTAATAGCCATTGATAGCACCCTCCATATATTTATCTCTTAAAGTTGGTGTTCATCACTACACCTTGTGGGAATTAATTCCATAGTTGAACTGTGTACTGTGTGATTGGCTGTGGTGATCTTTGTTTTTGTGTGTGAGTGGGGTGGGTGGGTGTTTTGGATCAGGTTAGCCATATTGATTTGTATGCTGTTGGTGGATTATTGTCATTGTCATGTTGGGCTGTGTATGTGATAAAGGGGAGCCGTGATAAAGGTATGTGATAAAGGTAAAGGCGTCTTCTTCTGTTTGTCCCCGTGTCAGTTTCAGT